TACGTACGAGGACGATAACTTACTACTACCGTTTCCGTTTCGTTGTAGTAATTAATTAATTAAATTTAGTTATTTACTTTATTATACTAACTATATATATATATATATATATATATATATAAAACTCAGACTAAAATGAGATGTTCAGAGAAACCAACTAGTTTTCATACAAAAACTGTAATATTTGGATTAATTTATTGTTGGCGCATACAGTAAAAAAAAAAGCATAATACGTGTTTCATTTCACCACATTGTAATAATTTAGACTTACTTCTCTAATATATCAAGAAACTTTCTGTGGTATTTCAAAGGAAGTATCTTATACAGTAACCGAAATGTGGCCAATAGATGCACTATACCACATGTGATTTCGACTAAAATAGTTACAGCTGAATAATTTTAAATAACAGGATACATCAGCGTTAAACGTTTTAGCGGGACTTTACATTGAACTTGTAAGTTGTAGTCTTGAAATATGTCATTTGAAATCGACAAAACTTCAAATTAATAATTCCATATAGACTTACTTCTACCGCGTCTAATTTGTTTCCAACGTTTCATTGAAGTAAAATAAATAAGTGATTTATACACATTCATGTCTACCAGTCATAACTGCGGTCATCCCAGTCAGCTGGTTGAGGGGTGTATAGACTAGTTCTAAGGACAGGCCCATTAAACGAGTCATTTTTTTGTGGCACATGAACTCCATTACTGTCCAAAACCTCGCTGTAAGCCTAACAAGAAGAAAAAAGGAGGATAATAAACAATATATTGCAGTTCATTCATTATTCACGTCAATTGATAAAAACTAAATAAAAAATTAATGAATTCAATGAGGTTTCTGCTAATAGTGTTCAGTTATATATAATATCATTATCATAACCTGCAGAATAATTGAAGTGTCATAACGAAATCAGAGATGGCACTGCATATTAAAAACAGACTATACTCCCCAGAATACCAACCCTCGGGTATTCTCGGAAACATATACACAGATTATGATAATACGAACACAGGTTTCACACTATTGGTCGTTTTTTTTACTAAAATCGGTCCACTTTCTAGTTATTATACAAAATAAATTACAGTTTGCAAGATTTTTTTTTTATAGATACGACGTTATTTGCAAAACTACATTTCAGAATTCCTTTAGCTTCAAACAAAACCTAATGACAATTAATAAAACAATCAATTACCAAATTTTAATCTAAGAGTTAGAGAAGTATAAATTATTTTAACTGTATCAACAAAGAACTTCCAAATTAAATCGAGAAAAAGCAACAAAAACACTTAAATATATTGTTAACAAAAAAGGTAGCGCAAAATACCTGAAAATCTCTTTTAATATGGTTGAAGTCTAAGCTTTTTTCAGGACTCAGTGACGCTGCCAGAATCCCTTTAGGATTGAAGGCTGCTGCCAAGGCACTTCTACTGAAGCCACCTGTGTTGTTCATATTAATATCCGAATAGTTGGTAGTGCCGCCTCCACTATAATAATTCCCTGATAAATATATGATCCAATATAGTAGAGAAATTATTAAAATGCTTCATCCTTCAAATACGTAAAATTAAAAAAATACGTTATACACGTATTGCAACAAACAAGGAAATAACTATTTTTACTTTCTTAGAAATCACGTACCATTTGTGTGTGTGTTTATATACGTATGTAATACACATACATAAACACAGACGATGACAGCTTTGTCTTCGTAGGAAAAGATATTACTTGAACTTTGAAGATTAAATTCTGGTAGCAAACTTTACTATTCGTGTGATTTTATTTACTCTATCTAAATGCCCTTTGAAACTGTATACTTTTGTTATGATGAGACAACAAAACGTGACCGAGAAGGAACTTACCTCCAGTATCAGGAACTCCCAGGAATCCCCCTGTGTTGTAAGAGCTTGTATTACTGGTTCCATAGCCACCCGCTCCGTTCCCCACTCCTCCTTTCGGTTGTCCCATGGAATCTAATTCACCAATGTTCTGCTTGGATAAAGATCTTGCCATCGGGCTAGAAGGCACTCCATGAGGTGCCAAATGACTCGTCTCTTCGACTACCATTTCAGGCTCCTGCTCATCTTGGAAGCTTGTGAATCCTTTGTCTTTCCGATAATAATTGATAAAGACAAAAAGGATCAGAATAATTAAGCAGGCAAAACCGTAACCTCGGAAGGTAACCTGGGTTCCTGAAATAAAATGAACAGAAGATTTGTATTCTTACTTGTACAGTCTTAGGATAAATGAAAGAAATTGTTTGCTATTTTTTAATACTTATCGTACAACATGTCTTGTGCTAAAATACAAGCATGTCAAAACGTTGAATCATATTCAAGCGCATAATAATAATAATACACTATTGGTGAAAATTCGTGAAATTTGAATACTTATTTACTGGCCCGGCATGGCCAGGTGGTTAGGGCGCTCGACTCGCAATCTGCGGGTCGCGGGTTCGAATCCCCGTCACACCAAACATGCTCGCCCTTTCAGCCGTGGGGGCGTTATAATGTGACAGTCAATCCCACTATTCGTTGGTAAAAGAGTACCCCAAGAGTTGGCGGTGGGTGGTAATGACTTCCCTCTAGTCTTACACTGCTAAATTAGGGACGGCTAGCGCAGATAACCCTCGTGTAGCTTTGCGCGAAATTCATAACAAACAAACAAAAAAAGTTATTTACTGCGTCACAGATACAACTTTGACATTTAAGTGCTCCAACGTAAGTGATGCTTACTGTATGTTGGAAATGCTATATTAAAGCCTAACCTGTACACTGCTGAACGTTACTACACCCTTGCTTGTTTTAAAAGTATTAATCTAGCTTTACATAAAACTCCGAGTATATAAATATTTGGTTACAGTTTCCAGTATGAGAATTTTAAATGTCGACATAATTCAAGCAAAATTAGAAGTTTAAAGCTATTAATCATAAAAAAATTAAATGAATTTAAACATTTTTATCTACGTACTTTGTATGGACATATAAGTAAAACAAGAGGGCCATTTACCAAAATTTTCAGAACGTTTTTTTCATGCTAAAGCAGATCTTAAATATGTACTTTTGAATCATGCTTTCATTAAATAGATGTACAAGAGACTGATTGGGTCAGTCAAAAGATTTCTTCAAATGGTAATAAAAGAACACAGTATCGTGTATAGTAATTAGTGAAAAACCACAGTAAACTGTGGGTTTTTTTTCACTATTTGCTCAAATGCTTAATGTCTTGGGTTTTTTCATTCAAGGGATGTCTAGATGTAAGTATGCGTTTTTACGATATCCCATATCATTACATAAGTTGTTTTATTTTACATAATATCCATTTATTTCAAGACCTATAACTTTGCGGCTATCGTGAATACGCT